TGAAAGGTGGGGTATCACTGGTTGGATAGGAGCTGCACTTGTTCTAGGTAATGCAACTTTTACTCTGGTTATTGATTCTTCATTATTTTCTAATTTTGTTGTCCCAAGTTTAATTTATACTTCTTTGTAAATTATCTGCTTGTTAAGTGACATAATGGCAGTTAGATAACCCTCTGCTTTCAAATTTAATGTAAACCCCAAAAAAAAAAAATTATGTATCTAGGATTTCTATTGCTCATTCTACTGCTTACATTCATTTTTTCATGAATGCCACATGTGAAATTAATGCCCCAAGTACAAGGTACTAGTAATGGCCAATTTTTTGGATATTGATCTCAAATATATTCATATTTATACTTGTTTTTTACATCTTAGTTTTTTGCTGTACCCTTGGGTGACTAGATTCTAAATTGTAAGGTGCCAAATTGGGGAGTAACAGTTATGAGCTAGGAAAACATAAATGGAACATTAACGTGTCTTTCCTGTTTGACCTTTAAATGTAGGCAATTTAAAAGCTACAACCACTGATTATGAATCAATATTGGGAAGTTTCTGTGATAGTTATGGTTCATTTTAGTATTAGAATTCTATTTCTTTTTATATTTCCTTTTTGACATAGATATATATGTTCCACACAGCGTACTTATGCAAATACAGAAATCTTAATATAGCTGGCACACTTTAAATTCAGGAGTTAACTTTAATCTCCTCCAATCATGGCTGATTTGGATGGATCATTTTGATTCTCTTGTTGATTCACGACACATAACAAAAGTGCACTGCCCATTATGTGAGGTCTTATTTTGAATTTAGAATTTGGAATTCGATACATTTATTTGCCTTTAACACAAATGCAACGAACGTCAACAACTCCTTGGTTACTCTCTGAAGCATCCTAGACTTATAAACTGATCTTAAAGTTTATGCATGTGCATGTGGAGTTGCCATTCTCTATGATGTTAGCTGCTTCTCATTCGTGACACACCTACTTAATATAGTTTTCCCTCTTAATTCCTAATGTCAGTATTAAGGCTTATTTATGATATTTTAACCCAGGTGAATGATGAAGTCTGATTTTTCCCATCAACCTTATAGCATGATCGGATCTTGATCTAGGAATTATAGAAAATTTTTTTTCCTGGCACATATTTGCTGCCTGATCCAATGTTCGTTACTTTACTCTTTCAGTTGTTAAAAATTAAAATTATATCTTTGTAGGTGGAAGCTTAACAATGCAGATATTTGGATCGTTATACCCCATTAAGTCTGATGAGGATGAAGAGACAGGCAAAACAGTGATTGTGTAATGGTTTCAAAGGAGCAAAATGTTTTACCTACCTTGGAGTAATTGTTAGCTCCAAGAAGGATGGTCTTTAGCATTTGAAGAAGTAAGCAACAAATTCTTTGATTCCTTCTAATTTTTGTCTTTATTTTCACTACAGGGGACCAGAGGAGGTTTCCATCTGATAATGCTGTAGTTGTAGAGTCAGGTCTCATTTTGATATGCTAATTGAGACCTGATGGCTTTCTTCCGCTTGTATGATACCCAATTTTTCAACAATGAATAAATAAAAGGATGTTAATTTATTGCCATAATGATTTCTACTTTCTAGAGGGATCTATTATGCTAATCACTTGAATTCATTCTCTTTGTTTGCAATGAAGCATATCATACATCGAAGAACAATGTTATCTGCACTTGGCATATTGACCAGTGCTTTAATTTTTTGCTCTTAAGGAATTTAAAATTTAAAAATAAATTAATAAATAAAGAAAACTATGGGAGAAGTGTGTGTGAACCCGAGCGCACGCTACGCCTACACGTAGTTTAGCCATAGTTAGGGCTGGGTAAATGATCGGTTAATTAAAGGGGATAATAAAAATTTATTAAAAAAATTAATCAAATAGTCAAATACAAATAGTTATTATTTTTTTAATTTTAATTGAATAAAAAATTACTATGTCGTATATATTACTACGTCTATTGGAGATATGGAAGAAAGAAACGACTTAATTCAATTTTTAATTTATTAATTATTAGTTTAATTTAATTTTAAAAAAATATTTTATAGAGATATATAGTTAAAATTTGTAATAAATTTTAACAACTAACTCAATTCAAATAAAAAAACTTAGTAAGTTTAGAATGATAATTTTTAAGAGCAAGTCTGTTTTATAAGTTCTCAATTTGAATCATATGATATGTGGATGTGGTGTGATAAGGTATAAGAGATGATTGTTTTTCATTGTTAACCAAGATAAAAAAAAGAAAGAGTCAGTTTATTTTACGATGTAGATTGTATATAATTTGTTTAGAAAAATTATTTAAATTTTTTTAAAAAATAATATAAAATTAAAATTAAAATCATTTAAATAATTTTACAGAACGAACTACTTATAATTCATTCTGTAAAACAGTTCTCTGAAGAACACATTTAGTTAAATGATAATAAAACTATTTTTATGATAAATATAAATTTAAAGATTAAAAAATCAAAAAAAATATAATTAGAAGATTTAATATTTTCTTATAGAATAAGAATATTTATTAAAAATAACGAATATTTCTTTTAAAAATAATGGATTAGATAAAATTAAAATAAATATAAAAAACAATAAAAAAAATTAAAAAAAATTTAATTAAA